CGAGTAAATAGAATTGTATTCTTTAAAAAATATAAAGTTTTTGAATTAAACTGATTAAAGATTAAAAAAACAAAACGATTAGAACCTACTTAAAAAGAACAAACGAATACATTAATAAACACAAACGAATAAGCAATCTTGACCATTGATTTAAAGTAACAAATCCTGTCCATTGAAAATATAATTCTTTTTTGTATTTATTATATTCACTGATTTACCATTAAAGGAAACTTTTTTAAAATTTGTTGTGTGAACACAATGGTGAAATTGAACCACAGTGCGACACGTCAGCAAGGTTTCCACAGAATGAAATTCCTTTATAATATAAGATTTTATTGCATTTCTTTGTTATTTTTTTATAGGGAAGATTATTATTACAATCTATTTATGTTTACAACCATATCTTAACCGTTGATTTCCGTCAATCAACAGTTATTATTTTCGTAAATCAAACTCATTAATTAATATTTAATTTACAATGAATGATAACCGTTTTAAGATATGGATGTTAAATATTATAAACAAAAAAAGGTCGTAATGATGTATCTATGATACCTAGACATGAAGGTCGTAATGATGTATTTAAGATATGGATGTTAAATATTATAAACAAGAGACACGCGACGATACGACACGTTAATTTTAAAAAATGCTAGATTTCGACACTTTAGGACATGTTTTGATATTCCATAATATTTTTAATTTATGTAATATATATTATATTTAATGTTCAATAATTTAACAAAAAAATAAAGTAAAACTTATAATATCCATCAATTTTGTAAATAAACATAAGATATCTCATATATTTATATTAAACTCAATAAAATAGTAATTGTTATCTAATGAATCTTATAATTGGAACTAAAAATGCAACGCAATGCAACCTTCGAACTCTTTTTTGAGTCTCTGCAACGCGTGTTGCAGTGTCGGAGTGTCGAACACGACAAGTTAGGTATTTTGAAGTGTCGGTGCATCATAGGTAGTCTCTTTCATGCTATACACCTTCGACAGGTGGACTACAGTTTTGATATGATCGATTAGGTTGATGATTTTTTAATTAATGTCTTACCATATGTTGAGAAATCTCTAGAGAGAGTTTGAGTGAAACATCTCTAAGGGAGTTTGATTATCACCATTGTTGGAGATGTTATGTTAACCACCACATTGGTGAATCTTGATTCTTTATGACCATTATTTTTCATATTGAATTTTTGATCTGGACTAGGTCTCGTGTGTTTTTACTTCTTCATTGGAGAATGTTTTTCCACATTAAAACTGATTGTGTTCTCCTTCTCTCTCCTGCTTGTGTTTTTTGTTTTTCCGCTTCGCTGTCCGACCTGGTAAAGTTCAGGCCGAGGTAAGATTGCCGAGATCCGAGATCCAGGATCTTGTTGATTGACTTTCACAAAAAGACTGCTTAGCCGAGCTTGAGGGAAGAGTTCCCAACATCATTCTCCTGTGTCAGAACCATGTTATGTACTTATGTTGCTTTTCATGACGAAGAGTGGGAAGTTCCTGCTCATGTTGACAAGTTATCTGGGTTTGTTCTGGTGTTTGTACAATCTGGTTTCGGCTTCCATGCTGAAACTGTCTCATGGTGGCTTTTGGTTTTGGTGCAGGTAACTGTTTGAATTGCTTAGCTTCTCTGGAGATTTGGCTGAACTTACATGGCCCAACATTCTTAGCAAAATGCAGTTATTTCGGTACTGATTTAATCATCTGTGAAATGTATATCCTGGACTTAATTACTTGATTTGCATATTGGTGATATTACTCAAAACACATCAGAAAAGATTACTCATCAAAAAACTGGGTCACCATATTTCCAGTGCTTCCATTTTGTTTTTGATTGATTAGGCAAAAAAAGTTGTGCAAAATGCACTACTATAAGTTTGGGATATAGTTCTGGAGGAGATATGTTATATTTACAAACTCAAAGTTTACGAACTCTTACAAATTATATTTTGTACTATGGGTAGTACATGCTTAAATAATATGTATTACTAATAATAAATAGTGTAATTTGTAAGAATTTGTAAACTTTGAGTTTGTAAATATCACTATTCTCGTTCTGGATTAATTACTGTGACATATAGGGAAGTCTTCCTGAATTTTGATCCAAGTGCTGTTTGTCCAATGAATGAGAAAAAGATAGTTGGACCAGGGATGCCCCGCCAGAGCCATAATTGAAAATGCACGTCAGATGTGTAAGGTAAATACTCCCATTCCTTCATTTTCTAATCTTATGTATAGCATCTGTAAAAATTGCAATGAAATGAATCAGCCTTAAAGGCTTAAGTTTTTTCAAACTTTTCTGCTACCTACCGAGGAGAATATTATTATGACAAATTAAATAAACCTGCTTCCTGACCCACTGATGAATATAAAAAGAACACTGGGTTGAGAAAAATAAAACTCAGTCCAACTTGTTTGAGGATGATAAGTATGGATTTCTTAGTTTATAACTACAAAACAACGAGGCTGAGTAAATCTATGGCTTTGACTGCATGTTTTTAACCATTGTTGTGTAGGAGATTGAAGAGTTTGAGTCCTTTGACACATTTATTTGGAACTGTGAACTATAAGCGTACAGTCATCCAGTTTTGACCCCAAATAGCAGGTACCTATTTGTTAGAGAAGTATAATATAAAATTATTAAAATGGTATTCACTTAGTAATGTGTACTTTTATACGAGATGGTTCTTTAACATAGCATCAGAGTCAATCATCAAGTGATCATAAATTTGATACTCGTTACTCATTCTTCTAATGAATATTTAACTATGAATTTCTTAGCACAGGTGGGTGGCCATGTATATTATCCACCCTTCAAGTCCAATGTAATCTTATGTGAGGAGTTTAATATAAAACTATTAAAATGACATTCACTTGACATATTGAGCTTTTAGTTGAGATGGTGATTCAGTTAGAGAAGTCTAATACTGCCCAATATCCTAAAGCGGAGGTCATAAGCAAAGACCTAGTAAGGAGAAGATTCAGAAGTGTGGGACCAGAAATCATATATACATTCATGCAAGTGGCTGGGCTAACAAATGATCACCTTAATTATCAGTTGCTTCAGATTCAAGGAGTGTATTGCCAGCGCAGAAGCAGATAGCTACATCAGCTCTAAAGTCAAAAAGAAAGCAAGTAAGGAGCCAACAAAGGTGGGTCTGTTGCTACTTGCTAGCTGTGGGTGATTGAGCTTCTCCTCAAAGTAGTACCAGGGCTTTGGTCAAATGTCATATTAACAATAAGGCAGTTGGCACAACTTGGTGGAAAGATAGGTGTGTTGTGGAGTGTACAAGTCCATACATATATGAAATAGCCAGAAGCCTGATGTATTTGGAAAAGAAAAGTGACCTATGGCAATTGTTTCAAGTTCTCATGCATTAGGCATATTCAAGGAAATGTTTGTTGCATAGTATTGGATAAGGCTTGATAATATAATATCTGATAGTATAAAATCTAATTGTATAAGATCTGATTAAATTTTAATACTATCCAACGTTTGGTACAGTATTGTATAAGATAATATTCCCCAATATTTTAAAAATTAATATATTAAAAAAAATTATTTTAATATATTAATATTGAAATGATATATTAGTTCTTGAGAATTGTACTTGTAAGCAATATTAATACATCAATCTCTTATCAGGCCTAATCTCACCCCCTTAGGCCTGATTAAGTTATACATCATTTTGATGTATTAAGAGGTTCTGTTGTATAAGCTTATACTATACGATGGTCACACCAAACAACTGAAAATCTTATAACGTATAGTATAAGCTTATACTATCAAGTCTTATACATCCATGGTCAATTGGCTGTTGCCCTTACCTACCTAGAGTTATCTTATTACCTCTGCCACTTTGTTTTCCATGTTTTTATGTTAATTAAGTATCCTGAGTCGAGTCTTACGGTCAACTAAGTACAGCATGAGCCGCATTACATACCTTATCAGCTGTCATCAAGATAACAATGCTGGATTTGTTTGCAGTATTGGTTGAATGCCTCAGTGCTTAATACTTTCACCTACTACCTACTTTAAGGAAATCAGGGTTAAAATATTGCAGTTAGGAGTTCTAGGCATTCTGACCAGTTTGGTTTAACAAAGTGGGGTTTGGGTCACAACAAACCTGAAAATGTTGGATGAAAAGCAAATTAGGCTAGGAGTAACCTCCAATAGAATCTAAGGGGATGTAAAAGTACTAAACTAATGGGACTATTCTTTTCGATATTTTGTTGAGCCCTGGATGAAGGAGAGCTGAGTTGAGTGAAGCTTAAATGACTAAACTTTCATCTTTAATACGAAGGCTCAAGATCATCTCTACTATCCATCATTCAAGAGCACAATTCACTAATTCAGTGATCAGACTAAGTTTTTTTATTTGGGGTTTTGTTAAACTTCGCCCAAGACACATAGGTGTTGTAAGGAAATTACTATGTTAGTTTGTTATCCCTGAAGATTGATCTAGTTTTCAATAAACCTCCTTGCACATTTCTAAAATCAGATTCAAGTTGATCAAAATACTTGTTCAACTTGTTTTACAAATACTATGTTTGGTTAAGATCAATTGGTACAATTATAAAACCACATCAATCTTATGACTTTCATATTAACCTATATTAGGATCGACTACTACCCAAAATATCTTAGAAGTGAAAGCTCTCGTCATCATATAGATAATAGCTAGTTTGATTTATATTCCAAGCCTTACAATACTTAAGATTAACGTAGAATATAGTTTATAAATTGAAAAATCTCAGGCTAGAAGTCTACATAATATATTACACAGATTATGAACTATCCGATTGTTGCATCACTATTAATCAACTATGATATGAAAAAGGACAATAAATAGAATATGGCAACATTATAAAGAAGCAGGGTTCCAGAGAGAGAGAGAGAGGTAGAAAAGGGAAAGGAGAAGTTGTATTGTCAATAGAGTTGCACTTCTTGAAATGAAGTTTTCTTTGCTTTAATTTACTTCACAAATTTTTGCAAGAACTTAATTTGGAAATCTGATTTGAGCTATCCTAATTCTTTACCTTGTTGCAGAAGAGTAAGGAATAGTGAGCTGAGCTTGATTAGCTATGCATAGTAATCAGCTCTAACATGCTATCCTAAGCGGAACTCAATTCCCACTTTTAAGGATCAAATTGAGGAATATGTCCCAAGTTTCTACTTTGTATTTACACTAAAAATGATCCATTTATAGAATACTACACTAATGTTGTACTTAATTATTGTGCAACATTCTTCCTGAGATAGCGGCAACAAGTGCTGCTCTGAAATTGGGATCCTTGGTTAAGGAAGTAGCCATCTGTTCCACCAAAATCTGCGGGACTTCCGGTGACTCAATTTTGGGATCTTTTTTCTTGACAACATCGTTGCTGGACTTAGATTTTGTCCAGTCAAGGGTAACTGTTGGTGCGGAAGTGTTAAGAGACGCTGAACAAGGTACTGAACCTATGGTCATACCATGGTTGGAGCCTGATGTTGCTTCCATTTGAGAAGGGTGGGGATGATTATGCTCTCCTTCATAAGTTGCAACCAAAACAGATTGATCATCAACACTTCTTTGCACCTGAATATTCAATAACCAAATTAGCTTGTGATCCAGTTCCTTAGTGGAGTTTGAATGACAAATTCCTAATTAACTCTTAGAAATAATTACCTTCTTTTTTACTGGGCAGCTTGGAGCAAAAGAGCATTTGAAGTATGCTCTTGGAGAAGGGTTATCCCTGGTCACTTTTTGCCCATATTTCCTCCACTGATATCCATCTTTCACAATCTGTAAAACACATAAAAACAAAGAAAGCCTGTCAAACAATTACATCTAAATGGTTTATGACTTGTGAGTCTGTCTATGCTCTATTGCTTTAAAGAATCTTACAAGGCTGGTATCAGATGCTTCGGTCCTGAAATGAACTCTGGAAATTTTTGCTTTGATTGTGTCTTCCCTCGGTTTCTTGCATGACTCTTCATCAGTTGAGCTGCTCTCAGAGTTTCCATTAACTCCCATTTGATTACTATTGTTGTTGCTGCCTTCGGACTTCCTTTTCTTCGATGAACTAAGCTCCTTCTCAGGATTCTTCCTCATATATTCCATCAAGTTGCTTCGCAAAGTGTTATAATTCTCACACATCTCTGTGAGCATTTCGGTCAACTTCTTGTTTTCTGCACTCACCCGCTTTAGCTCCTCCACCAAGGCACCAGAGGACTGAAAATGGAAGCAGAAATATGATCATTTATACAGCTTTTATAAGAAATAAAGGTGGGGGACTTATATCTAGTATCCCTAATGAACTGATTAACAAGAAAATCATTCAACCATAACCATGAAATCACTCTCCATTAAACCCCAATTAGCAAATAGGGACAAAGAAACAATTTTACCACTTTTAAGCCTTATTAAACCATATTTCTTTCAAATCAATTTAGATTGTTGACAAAGGAACATAATTAAAGGGGAGAAATAAGGAATTAGCACAACTAACCTCTTCTTTTACAGAAGACTTCCTCATCCCCAATGAGAAAAAATTGTTTTCCACCTTTTTCTGAAATGAACACACAAGAAAGAATTATTCTCCATATCAAACATTATTCTGATGTAAGCATTTCACAGAAGATCTTCCACGCAAGATGACTTATTTCGTTCAATCGTTTATACTTACTGGAAATTCTTCATGAACTCTGTAGGGATTAATGTTGAGATCCAAGGAAGTGTTAATCCATGATGAACAATCCATTGCTGCGAAATGAATATTCAAACAAGTAGCAGTTTCACAGTGATAAGCTCTTATCACCAAAAGCTCTTTTTGAAAGCAAAACCAAGCTTCTAGATTTGTATGAAGCAAAACCCAGATGAAGAACCTATAGAGCAAGCTGAAAAGCCTCAAACTTTGTGAAGTTGGAAATGATCAAAGTGAGAGAAGCATATATAGAGGCACATGAAGAGAAGCACAAGTTGAATAAGGAAACTTGGAGGAAATTGAGTGAGGAAAAAGACACATGGGAATATATTCTACTACATGTTCAAGAGCTGGCTTCTTATTTATTTATTATTTCAATTTCAGCTCACATCCTTATTTAGTAGTAGTATTTGACTAGACTACACTAGACAAGATAAGAAGCACGTGTCTATCTATTTATTAATTTTTAAAGGAGTTTTTTTTTTTTTTTTTCACCCACCAAAGTAGAGGCAATATCCTGGGTATTTTGAGTTTCATCTCTAGAACAATTTTTTTGTTTCGTCTTAATCAGAATATTCTGGTAAGGAAAAAATGAGTATTATTTTTAAGGATAGAAAATTGTGTCATTTTAAGTGAAGAAAAGAGATAGATTATAGAAGAAAGAATGAGTGAAAAAAGTTTTAAAAATGTGAGTCTCACTCCTTTATGGAAATGAAAGAATATAAGATATATCATTTAAAATATACCTAAATAACTTTTACGGTGGCTTACCTAATCAATAAAATATTTTTAGAAGGTGCCCACAATCTTACGATTATCATAACGGATGATTTCCCTTAAATTTGATGTAATTATCCGTCTAATCAACTTACATTATTTACTTTAATCTCATATTAACTTGAACTAGCGGTTTTTTGATAATATTTCTGAGAAATTTATTTTCTCAATATATTCCTAAAAATTATGATTTTTAAGAATAAAAAATATTTTCTTCTACCAAATGGTTTGTTACGGAACACTATCGTAACTATCCTGCAAGATGACTAAAAGAAGTTATTACAACTACACTAAGCATCAGCTTTAAGTTTTATTATATGCTTTGTATTTATAAAGTGAACTTTGTATCAGTCAAAGAATTAGTTTTCCGTTGAGTTAGTTAGCGTAGTTTACGGAAGTAGTTGTGTATAATTAAAGGGATTTAAATCTTACGTAGAGAATTATTCATTCGGTTAATTTTCTGAGAAATGAATTCAAGATGAGTTCACAAAATTCTCTCTCTGTTTCAATGGGATTTCACATGGTATCAGAGCTCTGGTATTGCATTTTTCTTTGTTATTTGATCTTCATTCCTTTCATGGATAATTCTTCTTCAATGGCGAACTAGAACTCTCTTCCAGATTATCTGACAAATCCCTCCAATCCATCCAATCCTCTCTACCTGCATCCGAGTGAGAATCCCTCACTGGTGCTCGTGAATCAACTTCTTGATGGCAAAAACTACAGCACTTGGCTACGTGCAATGAAAATGGCGTTACGTTCTAAAAACAAGTTGTGTTTCGTTGATGGAACGTTCGTCATTCCAGGAGAAAATGATCCAACCTTTCGGGCATGGGATCGGTGTAACACCATGGTGTTGTCATGGTTACATAAGTCTATTCAACCTACCATTGCTAGATCCATTCTTCAGATAGAGAAAGCTCATGAAGTGTGGAAGAATCTTGAGGAACGATTTTCGCATTCTGATATATTCAGAATTGCAGATCTGCAAGAGGATATTCACTGTCTTCACCAAGGAGATTCATCAGTAAGTGACTTCTTCACTGAGATCAAGACATTTTGGGATAAATTGGAGAATCTCCAACCATTACCAAATTGTACTTGCGGAGCGTCTAATAAATTGAAGAAATGTAGAGAACAGGATCAGGTAATAAGGTTTTTAAGAGGCCTTAACGATCAATTCCAACAAGTTCGTTCCCAAATAATGTTGATTGAACCTCTGCCCAACCTGAACAAAACGTTTTCATTAGTTGCTCAACAAGAACGTCAAATGAGTGTTGAAGTTTCTGGAGAAATGACTATTGCATCCAAAGCATATGCAGCTGAGCAACAATAACAACGAAGCTATGCTCGTGGAGCTCCATTTGGTAGAGGAAGAGGAGGACGTGGACGAGGTACCAAGTTGTGTACGTAATGTGGTCGCACCAACCACACAATCGAAACGTGTAATGCCAAACACGGATTTCCTCCAGGATTCAAAAGCAAGGGAAGGATTGTTTCTGCTAATGCAACTATTGCAGAATCTGAAGAAACTAATAAGATGAAAGATTCTATGGTGTCAATATCTCAACAAGAATACCAGAGTTTTCTTAATGTGATGAATCAGTCAAAGATTGATAATGGAGTTGAGGACAAGACTCATATTGCAACTGCACATTTTGCTCAATCCAAAGAAAGTACGGCTTTCAACACCAACTCTGGTAAGGCTTTCAATCATTGGATTATTGATACAGGAGCTACTGACCATATAAGTTGTTTTGTTTCTTTCTTTTCCTCACTCAAGAAAGTTGATCCAATTGCAATCATGCTTCTGAATAATCATAAAGCCACAACCAACTATTCAGGAACAGTATTGCTATCAAATCACTTAGAACTCACTAATGTGCTATATGTTCCTGAGTTCCATGTGAATCTGATATCAGTAACGAAATTGCTAGCAACAATACCTTGTGAACTTACCTTTCGTGATTCCAATTATTTTATAAAGCAGATTTCATCGAGGCAAGTGATTGGTTCAGCTAAGCTTCTGGTCTTATTGCATTCTACATGCAATTCACTTGATTAACAGAGTCAGCTCCCCTACTCTTCTTGGAAAGACCCCTTTTGAATTACTTCATAAGGCACAACCAGTGTTTGTTCAACTCAAAGTGTTTCGATCTCTATGCTATGCTACCACCTTGTCTGCCATGCACACTATATTTGCTCCACGTGCTCGTAAATGTGTTTTTCTTGGATATAAGAGTGGAACAAAAGTATATGTGGTACTTGATTTGTCCTCACATCAGATATTTGTCTCAAGAAACATCATTTTTTATAAAACCTGTTTTCCATTTTCTAAAACTCAAAATTCCAGCCCATCACATACTGAAATTTACCCAACTACCACACCGTTAATTTTTTATGAACTTCTTCAATCACATATAGCAGCCACTCCCATATTGCCTTTTACCCAAACCCACTCTACATCACCTGATTCATCAAATTTACCTATTACTCAGCCCTTTACTGATCCATCAAATGTCTCTCTTCGTCATTCTGATCGTCCACGACGCACTCCTACTTATCTGAATGATTTCCATTGCACTATGAATACCACTACTCCCTATCCACTATCTTCCACTCTTTCCTATAATGCTTGCTCTCAGAATCACACTTCTCTCGGTTTTACTCTTAATTCCTTGAATGAGCCCAATTCATATGCTGAGGCTGTTCAATATGAGTGCTGGAAAAATGCTATGCAGGCTTAAACCTCTGCATTAGAGTTAAACAAAACATTGAGTTTCACATATTTGCCTCACGACAAGCACCCTATCAGATGCAAGTGGGTTTACAAGACCAAGCTTAAGGCAGATGGAACAATTGAAAAGCACAAGGCCAGGCTAGTTTCTAAAGGCTACACTCAGCTTGAGGGGGTGGATTTTCTTAACACATTCTCCCCAGTGGCCAAAGTTGCTTCCATACACATTTTATTATTTGTGACCACTGCGAAGGGGTGGTATTTGGAGTAACTAGATGTGAATAATGCATTCTTGCATGGTGAGTTACACAAAGAAGTATACATGGTGCCACCACCTAGAGTAAAAACACCACAACCTGGCCAAGTATGCAAACTACACAAGTCATTGTATGGGTTAAAACAGGCCAGCAGACAATGGTTTTCACGATTGAGCTCTTCTTTATTGTCAATTGGTTATGAGTAATCACAAGCTGACCATTCCTTGTTGATCAAATCGCGAGGAAAATCATTTACAACACTACTAATCTATGTAGATGACATAGTGCTAGCTGGTAATGACAGAGATAAAACTCTGTAAAGAAATACCTTGATGATATGTTTAAAATTAAAGATTTAGGAGATCTGCATTATTTTCTTGGCTTGGAGATCATCAGATCAAATGATGCGCTGGTGCTTAATCAGCGCAAATATGCTTTAGAGATAATAACATATGGTGGTATGCTAGGAGGCAAGCCTTGCTCTACACCATTGGAATCAAGTGTTAAATTGGAACGTGATAAAGGAAAACCTTATGAAGAACCTGCTAGCTATCGGAGACTTGTAGGAAGGCTGTTGTATTTAACAACAACACGTCCTGATATTTCTCATGCAGTCCAGCAACTCAGTCAGGAAAAAATGCCCTGTTGTTTCATGACTGACATACAATACTTTCAAAAATGATGGGTAATTTGGTAAATTCGATTCACATTCTCATCAATATATTACAATCAATCAAACGTAGCATCAGTCAAGTTAACTTAATTTTTTCGGCAATATTTTGAGCTACCAAACACCTTTTTGTTACTTTTCTTGGGCAAAATATTTTCCTTCCAAGATTTTTCGATAAAAAAAAAAATCTCTTGCACTAAACGCCCCTAAATGTCAATTTTTTATCCCAATAGTGTAATTGTGGTAGAATATTTTGCCAAAATAATTTTCAAAAACGATTCTATCAGAAAATCGATATTGGGTTAACTCCAGTTGAAGCCGATTTTTGTCCAGTTTATTAATTTTTGACCAAATTACATACATGATTAATTAATTAACTGAATTAAATCAATTAATGGTTCGGTTCCCGATTCAAACTGGTCCAACCGTTTAGGTTAGATAATATTTAATAACACTACTCCAGAGACTGGTTGAATAATAAAAGAATCTATAATTGAAATAAAAATAAAAATTAAGAAATATTATTTTATGTAATTATATCGTGCCAAAAATAAAAAGAGGAAGAGAAGGCAAAACACGAATCTGTTTGGTGCGAGTAGGGTGATTATTTAGTGATATTAAAAGAAGAGAAAAATTACTCTTATATGACATGTGGTAAATTTTTCTACTACACAGTCTTCGATAATTGTGTCATCTTTTTCTTTTTTTTTTCTTTTTATTTTTCAGGTGATGGAGCCCACAAATTTATCTCTATGACATGAAATAACT